TATTTCTGTGAAAAATGTCATTGAAATTTTGATAGAGATTTCATCAACTATCCAGATCACTTTGGGTAGTATGGACGTGTTAACAATATTCTTCCAGTTTATGAACATGAGATGTCTTTCCATTTATTTGTGTCTTTTTCAGTTTCTTTCATCAGTGTCATAGTTGTCAGTGTGCAAATATTTCACCTCTGGTTAAATTTGTTCCCATTTTATTCTTTTTGTTGCTATTGTAAATGGGATTGTTTTCTTAATTTCTTTTTTGGATAGTTCATTGTTAGTGCGTAGAAACACAACTGATCTTTAAATCTTGCAACTGTACTGAATTCATGTATTAGTTCCAACAGTTTTTTGGTGGAGTCTATAGGGTTTTCTACATAGAAGATAATGTCACCTGGAAACAGAGACAATTTAACTTCTTTCCAATTTGGACGACTTTTTTTTCTTGCCTAATTGCTTTGACTAGGACTTCCAGCAGTATGATAAATACAAATGTCAAGAAGGGGCACTTAATTTTGACAAGGATGCCAAGAATAAATAATGGAGAAAAGATAGCCTCTGCAATAAATGGTGCTAAGAAAACTGAATATCCACAAGCAAAAGAATGAAATTAGATATTTGGCTTACATCATATACAACAATTAACTCCAAATAGATTAAAGGCTTAAATGTCACACATGGAACCATAAAATTCAAAGACAAAAACAGGGAAAAAGCTCCTCGATATTGGTCTGGGCAATTATTTTTTAGATAAGACACCAGAAACACAGGCAACAAAAGCAAAAATAAGCAAGTGGAACTACATCAAACTGAAAAACTTTTGTACAGCAAAGGAAATAATTTTAAAAATGAAAAGGCAACCTATGGAATAGGAGAAAATATTTGCAAACCATGTGTTTGATAAGGGTTGCTGTCCAGAATATATCAGGAACTCACATAACTCAACAGCAAAAACAAAACAAAACCATGTCATAACCTGATTTAAAAATGGGGAAAGGATATGAATAAACATTTTCCGAAAAAAGACGTAAATAGCCAATGGGTTATAAAAAAGTACTCAATATCACTAACCATCCATGAGAGAAATGTGACTTAAAACCATAATGAAACATCACCTCACACCTATTAGGATAGCTATTAACAAAACAGCAAGAGATAACAAGTATTGGTGAGGGTGTGGGGAAAAGGAACCCTTGTATGCTGTAAGTGGGAATGTAAATTGGTATAGCCATTATGGAAAAGAGTATGGAGGTTCCTCAAAAAATTAAAACTAGAAAAACATACCATTCAGAAATCTCACTTTGGGGTATGTATCCAAAGGAAGTGAAACCAGTATCTCAAAGAGATATCTGCACTCCTGTGTTCATTGCAGCATAATTCACAGTAGTTAAGACATAGAAACAACCTAAGTCTCCATCAATAGATGAATGGATAAAGAAATGTGATAAGGCACAGATCTGTGTATACTGGAAAACATATATAAAATCGTATTTCAAATCATGAAGAAAAAGGTATTGGGGTTATATCTCTTAATCACCATCTCACATCAAACACCAATAAATGAATTCCATATGTGTTATAGATTTAAACATTAAAAAGTATTTCAAATATTCTATAAGCAAGTAAAAATGTTTTCAAATTATGAGGAGGATAATATATTTGTAAATTGTACATAAAACCTGGAAACCATAAATGAAAAGACTGACAGATATGATCAGATAAAAATTTCAAACGTCTTTGGGATAAAACATATAAGTATATCTTACAAATATTGCACGTTTGGTTTCAGAACACTGCAATGAAGTGAATATTGCAATAAAGCAAGACACTCAATTTTTTGGTTTCCCAGTGCATATGAAAATCATGTTTATACTTTACTGTAGTCTATTAAGTATGCAATAGCATTATGTCTTAAAAAATCAATGGACAATCCTTAATTAAAAATACTTTATAGCTCAAAAAATGCTCACAATCATTTGAGCCTTCAGTGAGTCATAATTTCTTTGCTGGTAAAGGGTCTTGCCTGGGTGTTGATGGCTGCTGACTGATCAGGGTGGTGGTTGATAAAAGTTGAGGTGGAT